GGTGTTTGTCTTTGGTTTCATGTGATGTTATATTTATGTTGTAAATGTTGATTGACTTTGTTTCCTGTATTATGTCTAATCTGGGCATAAAGAGTTTATATCTTCCTGAGTAATTTTAGTTTTATTATTTTTAAATGATTAATACGAGTAGTAAATAATAAAGCTGCCCGTCCACTCCCTTCACTAAGTAATAGCAAGGAGAGAGGGGAAGATTCAAGATTGCGTATTAGTGTAGGCCAAGGAACTTCTTTATTGATTCACTCTGAATTGTCTTTTACTGGTTTATATTCTATCTTCAATGCTTTGTTCTGATATTGATAACTTGAGGCAAAATCAGGGGAAGGAGAGGCAAGAGAATTCCTATTTCTCCACGTGAAGGGTTAATAATTATTGGGTCTTTCAAACCTTTTCTTTCACAAAAGAAATTTGGTCATTTCTTCTGTGATGTAGATAGCACAGGCTAGGGATAGTAGACATTGCAGCCTAACCCCAAAACGACCCAATAAAAGTTAACTGCCTCATTGTTTAGTCTTTCAACTAGTGTCTCTGGGAATGTATAGGAAAGATATCAGTAGCTGGAGACAGATCGTAGAGAACTAGCTGATCAGTGTCTTTGTCAACGGTAAATTCTTTTTACTCACTATCTAAGCCCCCCATATAACTAAGCAGCTCTGCCACCCCATTGGTTTTTCACCTTCTAACATAATTGATCATTCTCCTAATGCTTTTCATATTCAATTATATGTTTGTCATTCTTCATCAATTCTTCTACTCTTATATCTAAAATAGCAGAGCTCAGTTCTTAACTAAACTAAAAAAGCTGGTGGGTTCTTGATCCGATTTCAACTTTTCATATGTTTCCATGCATGGATTCTTCCACTTCGAATCTTTCTGGCTGTTGTCTGGATTCCTTCTGCTTTCGTGTGTGCTGATGCTTTCAGCCTTACTGAAATAGGGAATAGGGCTCCAATAGGATTTCTCCAAAACCCACACAAATGGAGGCCGATGGCCTTAGACTCAGACGGGATAGAACAAAGCTTCTCGTTTTAGCAACTTCTTAAATTATAGGAAGCCTCTGTCAATATTCCTCCTAAAGCTATTTTGTGGACTTCATAGCTGACATACATCAAGTTAATGGAACATGGCTTTATTGCAGAATTTTAAAGTTTCTTTATTTATGCATCAATGACGATAGGTCGATAGGTACATTTGCTATAGTTTCAGCATTATGGCTAACACATGTCAAAGATGTAGCAGAATTTGGAGCTCTAGCCAATACACATCCTATCTCAGCTATTACCTAATCCATTATTATGTTCTCTCATGCCTTATCTTATTATAGAGAAGTAGTTGGAACTATTCAGCTTTTTAAAGGCAATTTGGTGGACGTATATGCTGGCTTCTGTTGCTATATTAACTATTAACCTCTATGAACCACATTGCTATTAGCATTGTGGCTGTAATTATGCAATATACTCCTGCTTTTTTTTTATTGGTATTCACCATATGGGGTATGTGGCATCTTAGTAATAGAAATAAAATAAAAATATTATCTGAGATATGTGTCCAATAGTCCGTAAGGGTATTAAAAACATTATCTGAGATGTGAATCCATAAGGGTATTTTGGGGAAAAACGTCTGTGTATCTTTCCTGAAAGAGAAATGTGGAAAACAATTTGAAACATCCTTATGAAGGAACAAGGAAGTATCATTGATCATCAAGGAACAGATTTTGAAGTTTTTCGATCTTTACTCTGTAGTTAAGAGTATCTAGATTGTTGATGTTATTGGTACGATATTACATGCTTTGTCGATGTATTAGTTTAATGTTTCATTTTGGACCTTACATTGTTAAGTTGAACGGGCTTTATTAACTTATCACCATGGTGTTACTTATGCTGCTGAAATAACTTGCTTCTGTTCACAACTTCACATTATTAGACATCACTAAGCTGCTATTCTGTTTATCTTTTAGAGACAAGCATTGAATGATTTGAATCAACGTGAGTATAATGCTCAGCAGGAGAAAGAAGAGAGACATGTGAGTATTTCTTTGCATTTTGGTTATAGTTTGGTACTGTGCCTTATATTTTGATTCCTATATAAATTTTTTTATTTTTTTTTATTTTTACTTTTCCCTTTGTCCCCCCCCTTCCCGTCTTCTTTGAGATAGGGCTAGGTAGGACGGGGAATGTGAACTGATTGTGTGAGTAATTATCACCTGACATTGTTGATTTATTGCATTTATGTCTGATTATGTTTTAGAGGATTGCTGAAGCTATGGAAGTGGAAATGAAACGATGGGCTGCCGGGAAAGAGGGAAATTTGCGAGCACTTCTGTCATCTTTGCAACAGGTATATTTTGTCGAAACAAAAGCCATTATGGACTCTGATTGCTTTGTGATGACTTCCTTCCATTTTTCCTTCGCTTTTCACATGATTGTTCCGATTTGGCAATAAAATTTGTGTTGAGAAGTGGATTACGTTTGAAATCAGTTTTGGATAATAAGTTGAATGTATATTTATTCTATTAATTCTTCGAAATAAACTTTTTTGTAATTTTGTTAAATGTAACGTGTTTATTTGTATTTAACTAAATTGGAGAATGTGGCATGCAGCTCTTGTACAAGGTGAAATGGTGAATGTATAAGAAAATCTCTTTTGAGCCACAATCTTTAACTCTGGATCTGTATTTGTCATTGGGTTTAACTTCTGTGCTTTATCTGTGCATCTATGTACAGTGTAGACAATGTTTTAGTGGGATTATGTTATTCAGCTATTCCTTTATGGTACTCTATATATATTCTCTGAATTGGGTTAATATTCTTTGGTGAGATTGTATGACCTCTCTCCTCTCCATTTGTGTTTGGATGAGCAGGTGCTTGCCCCTGAACTTGGTTGGCGGCCAGTTACTTTAACAGACTTAATCACTTCGTCTCAAGTTAAAATTGCATACAAAAAGGCTGCACTGTGTGTCCATCCTGATAAAGTGCAGCAGAAAGGTGCTAGTCTTGAGCAAAAGTATGTTGCGGAGAAAGCCTTTGATCTACTGAAGGTATATTTATATTTTTAACTTACTCCATTAATTATTTCTATCAAGGGCCTATGTGGCATTGTGGCCTAGGGCTTCTATGCTTTGCATTCCATGTTGTGGCTTTCTTGTCAATCTGAGGTACATTTTCAATTTACTTTCTAGTGAACTTCTGTTAGTTAAATGAAGTTGTGTTGTAAAATTGATTTCTTAAATCTTTTAAAAGGTAATGATATATAGTTTATCGATACAACCCTTTGGGATGTTAATCTCATGTTGATTTGTTAGTCAAGCTTGATTATGTTTAATATTTCCTTTTTTAGCTCCATATTTATAACCTTGGGGCTGTATATAACATTTTCTTCCATCTATTTAACAGACTTGACCGTTGAAAATGTTTTGACATTAGTTTTTCATGCTTGTGTTTGACACCCTTTAATTTAAATGGGATATCAAGTTGCATACTACCTCCGTTACAGGTTATGTGCAACGATTAGACATTTTCCCTCTCTGCTTTATGTCAAATCTTTGCACATAACCTTTAATTTTGTTGAATCATCAGTCCAGGATTGCATAGTTGGCACAGAAGTGTGCACTATGTGTAACCTGGAAATGGCCCCTTCTTCCTACCTCCTCTGTATATGTGTATGCGTGGGAAGAATCATGCTTGCATCTGTTATGTGGGTGAGTGTGTCTTGGCATGTAGGCTATCATTTTGAGTTTTAGTTTGATGCTTTGATCTTTCCATTATGATTTTGTATTGGTCGAATGTAAACCAGCAGGGGAGGAAGGAGTTGTTGATTAGTCACTGTCTGTAGTCTTTATTGCATCATCACTGTAGTATCTTGTGCCTAGTGATTCACTGTATCTCATACAGAATGATTATGCAAAATATTAAGAGATTTTGCTACTGCTGTTTTCCCTATTTTCTTTCCCCTTTTGATCTTTTTTCTTGGAGGGAGAAGATGACCCCCCCCCCCCCCACCATCACACACACACACGTTATATTTCCCTTCTTGCAACTTAATTTACCACACTCGGCCCTTACCTACTGTGGCATTTTGCAGGAAGCTTGGAATAAGTTCAATACGGAGGAGCTTCGGTAATTCCTGTTTCTTAGTTCAGTGCATCATGTTTTGTTTCTGTCCTTTGTTGATCATGTCTGTCGACCTTTGTAATCAACCGGAATTTAATAGGAGCTTTTTTCTTTTAGCATGTAAATGCGTGTCCGTATCAATATTTTATTTTTGTCATACCTTGTTCATTGTCGTTAATCAATGGTAGCTTTTGTTGATAACATACTTGGCCATTTTGTTTTTCTTTTGAAGGGTACATAAGCTTAAATTATTGTACTTGTTATATGTGAATAAATGAAAGTTCAACTGTACAATGTAGTTTTTAGCTTTCTTATATTGCCCTACACTCTTGATGTGACTTTGCTGCTTGTGGTATTTCATTTTGATCTGAATAGTAGCCAACAGTTGTAATAAACTTGCATTTATTAAGAAATGGGCAAGAAGATTGTGGTAGTGAAACACTAAGAAGAATGACAATTTATGCAAGGAAATCTTCCTCGGCTTAAGTAGTAATAAACACGGGATTATGGGCTAACACATTTTATCTATTTAATCAAAAGGATGTTTACAAGCTCGATTCAAATCCAAAGTGGGTGTAAAGCCAACCCAACGAAAAAGCTGAACTGTAAAATGTTTGATCTTCGATCAAACCTGAGCTACCAGACTAAACAGTTAAAAAATCGTTCAATGCGAAAGTTGTTGCCAACCTAAACCCTCCATACCTTTTCGGAGTTGATAAATGGATGTCTTAATACTGAAATATCTTCACATATATAAAACTATTCAACTACTAAAGATTTGAAATCAAATCTTGTTTATATCATTTTCTTTGTGTGTCGCCCTTCTACATAAGGGAACCTACCTTCCGAAGGTGGAAGGCCAAAATATTAGTGTACTAATAATATAGATGTCCCAGAAAACTGTCATTCAATACACATACTTGGAAACACAAAATACATACTAGCGTTACTATACTGCTTTTTAATAACAGGAACATTACGGTTTATCTACCGGAAAAGCATATCATTTTTCCTTCAGAATGCTATTACCACAGAAACATCTTGACATCTGATGATCTGAAAACCAACTTTTAACCATGTCATTCAACCAAACTTAAGCACCATCATCTATTCCAAGCCAAAAACCTTGAAAATTTTAGAGACTCCAGTCCACCCATAGAATTGTTTTCTTAATAGAGCTCTTATAGGACTCTCTTGACGATAAGAGTAAGCGCTTTTATCACCAGGCTTAGAGGCTTCAGCAATAATAGGCTCACAGATGACTTGAAGCTCATTCATCTTTTCTTCAAACTTGGAAGCTTCAGAAAGCTGGAAATTCCAATCTAACCACTGCATCGTTTTCTCAATGGCATTCTCCATCCTCGCCTTATCATCAATTTCAATCTTCTCTGCATAATCTCTCAACATCTCCCACATTTTGTTAGCATAGTTCTCCAAATCATTCTTAGCCTTCATCTTCTTCAAACATTTTTCATCCTCAGCCCTGTACTTTTCCGCCTCTTCCAACAGTCTATCAACCTCTTCTTTTGATAACTTACTCTGATTAGTAAGGGTGATCTGGTTTCTGTTTCCAGTGCCTATGTCCTCTGCAGATACAGTTAGAATCCCATCACCGTTAATTTCAAACCAAACATCAAACTTTGGGACACCAACAGGTGCTGCAGGAATGTCTGAGAGGTAAAATTCACCAAGAAAGTTGTTTGCCTTAGCAATTTGTCTCTCACCTTCATACACTGGGAATGACACAACACTCTGGTTTTCATCGGCAGTAGTAACCCTGCTAACTTTCTTAACTGGGATACTAGTATTACGAGGAACAACAACAAGCAAGTTACCACTGCGAAGTTCAATGCCAAGAGATAACGGGCAAACATCGAGAAGAACAATATCCTTATTACCTGTACCGCTCAAAATGGCAGCAAGGACAGCAGCACCATAAGCAACAGCTTCATCTGGGTTAATGCCTTTACAAAGTTCTTTCCCATTGAAAGTCTCTTGCAGAAGCTGCTGGATCTTAGGAATCCGGGTTGACCCACCGACTATGACTATGTCATGAACATCACTCTTTTCAATTCCAGCATCCTTCAAGCAATACTCAACAGGATCTATACACTTCCTGAATAAATCCAAATTCAATTTCTCAAATCGAGCACGAGTAATTGTTGATGTGAAATCAATACCCTCAAAAAGGCAATCAATCTCAATAGTAGTTTCATGAGCACATGAAAGTATTCTTTTAGCTCTCTCAGCAGCCGCTCTCAGCCTAACAAGACCTCTTGGATAATCACTAACATCTACATTGTGCTTCCTTTTAAACTCTTCCACAAGATAATTTACCATATTGTTGTCAAAGTCTCCACCACCGAGGTGAGTGTCACCACTAATCGCCTTCACTTCAAAGACACCCTTTTCTACACAGATTATAGAGACATCAAAAGTCCCACCACCAAGATCAAAGACCAACACATTCACTCTCGCGATGTCACACTCATTACCCCTCTTCTCGAGACCATATGCAATGGCAGCCGCAGTAGGCTCATTGATAACACGCATAACATTAAGTCCAGCAATGACTCCAGCGTCTTTGGTAGCCTGACGCTGGGAATCATTGAAGTAGGCTGGAACCGTGACCACTGCATCTTTTACTGTCGAGCCAAGATAGGCCTCTGCTGTCTCTTTCATCTTCACGAGGATCATCGAAGATATTTCCTCAGGAGAAAATTGCTTCTCTTCACCCTTGTAGGTCACCACTATCACTGGCTCCTTGTCTTCACCAGAATCGGGGTGGGCGATAACCTTAAATGGCCAAAGCTTTATGTCATTTTGCACTATCTCATCGCTGAATCTCCTGCCTATGAGCCTCTTCGCATCTGTCCATGATCATTAATAAATTATTAATCATTAGGCAATGCATGAAAACTAATACTATCCCCGTTTCATATTATTTGCAACAATTTGAAATTAAGTGTCAGTAAAAAAAATGTCTAATCGTTGCAAATTATATGTAACATAGAGAAAGAATGTCATAAAAAGTTTGAAGTACATCATCAAAACATAATTCAACTATGGATAGT